CCTTTGGGGTCGCGCGACTTTTTTACAGCGAATCGCGGTAAAAAAAACGCGTGACGGTCGCGCGACAGACGCGCATATTACAATACGCCTAGGTGTGAATGGGGCCTAAGGATTGGTAAGCTGCAATATATTATTTTTTCACAAGACCCTTTTCTGTTCCAGCATGCCTCTTCCCCTGTGTACAAAGCCAGCTCCATAAAGACATGGTGTGACCGGTTTGCTGTGGAGAAACTTCAGTGTGGTGCATGGAGCCCCGACCTCAACCCTACTGAGCACGTTGGGTTACATTTCAATGCCAGTTGTGAGCCAGATCTTCTCATCCAACATCAGTACCTGACCTCACAGATGTTCTTTTGGCTGAATGGGCAGAAATTCCCACAGACAGTGGCGTCACAAGGGGGGTGCGGCCCGCACCCCGGTGACACCATTGGAGGGGTGACATCAAAATGACTGACAGTCATTTTGGTGTCACCCCCTCTAAAAAGTCATGGACCGAGAGCCCGACAGTGTCAGGAGGGTACCCGGCGGCATACTTCATCCCGCCGGGTGGACATCCCCCCCTCTCTCTGCCGGCGTCCATCATTAAGATGGCCGCTGGAAGGCATCAATTAGATGACCGCGCATGGCTGGGTGTCACCCGCTCTCCTCTCTCCGGGTGACACCCAGCCTCGGGACGCCCCTGCCCACAGACACAACCACTTCAACATTTTGTGGAAAGCCTTCCTAGAAGAGTGACGTCTCCTATAGCTGCAGAGCTCCAGAATGAATGCTCATGGTTTTGGAATGTCCAATAACCTCATATAGGTGTGATAGTCCGGGGCCCACCAATTCTGTAGGATATAAAGTCAGTCCCTCAGCCATGGCCAGTTGTCCACACACTGAAAAATGACAGCTGCGAGAATGAAAGGCTCAATCTGATTGGTGACCGCAGGGGAACACAGAACAGTTCTAAATTAAAACTAATGATAATTGAAGTCTTTCATGTTTCAGCTCTTTTTTTTATAGAATTGTTCCACTCCCGATCTGCAGCAGCTGGAGGAAGTAGAAATGCAAGGGGAAACAAGAGAATAGTAGGCAGCATCCTTTTCAACATTAGGTGCCATGTTCACAGGCATTAGACAACCATCGTGCCAGTAAATAATAATAGCGCATTTTAGTCTTAGGTCTCGTTCACACCTAGGCGTATTGCATATGCGTGACCATCGCGCTTTTTTTTTACCGCGATTCGCGGTAAAAAAAGTCACGCGACAAACGAGCGTTCCCGAAGGCTACCTGGCTGTATCCCGATGGAAACGCGCAACAAAACGACCCAAAGTAGTACCTGTACCTTTTCAGGCGTGGGCCGTTTTGTAGCGCGTTAGGGACGGGCGGAAATACGCCTAGGTGGGAACGAGACCATTGAATACAATGGGATTTATATTTTTGAGCGTTTTGTAGAGCGTTCGTCGAGCGTAGACGTGTGAACGAGGGCTTAGGCTGTTTATCATTTTTGCACTCATAGTTGTACTGCTATTGGCAAGTTAAACTTAATTAGACCGATCAACCCCTGTGCACACACTGCAGACCTTGGATCAGCCCCAGTGCATAGACTGCAGACTTCAGATTAGCCTCAGTGCATGCAATTCATATCTTAGATCAGTCTCAATACATGCACTTATAGACCTTAGCTCAGCCCCAGTGCATGAACTTCAGACCTCAGATCAGCCCCAATGCATGCACTTATGGCCCTTAGCTCAGCCCCAGTGCATGTACTTCAGACCTTAGCTCAGCCCCAGTGCATGTACTTCAGACCTTAGCTCAGCCCCAGTGCATAAACTTCAGAACTCATATCAGCCTCAATGCATGCACTTATAGACCTTCGATCAGCCCCAATGCATGCAGCTCAAGCCTCAAAACAGCCCCAATGTATGCACTTCAGGCCTAAAAACAGCTCCAATCTATGCACCTTAACCCCTTAGATCAGCCCCAGTGCATGTACTTCAGACCTCACATTAGCCTCAGTGCATTCACTTCGGACCTCAGATCTGCCCCATTGCATGTACTTCAGACCTCAGATCAGTCCCAATGCTAGCACTTTAAACCTTAAATGAGCCACAATGCATGCACATTAGCGCTCAAGTCAGCCCCAGTGCATGCACCTCAGATTAGCCCCAATGCATGCACTTTAAACCTTACATCAGTCCCAGTGCATGCACTTCAGACCTCGTAGCGGTCCCAGTGCATGCACCCAAGACCTCAGATCAGCCCCAATGCATGCACTTCATACCTCAGATCTGCCCCATTGCATGTACTTCCGACCTCAGATCAGTCCCAATGCTAGCACTTTAAGCCTTAAATCAGCCACAATGCATGCACATTAGATCTCAAGTCAGCCCCAGTGCATGCACCTTAGATCTCAGATTAGCCCCAATGGATGCACTTTAAACCTCAGATCAGCCCCAGTTCATGCACTGTATGTACATACTGTATGTATGTAAGACCCAATGCAAACATCAGATTAAAAATGCAGGGGACCACTGCGGACAGCAGGCTTACATCCTTAGCCACTGGCGGTCTTTTTAGTGATGTCAGGGAGGTGGGTGGAGCAAGCTTTGTAATTGACAGCCTAGTGAGCTTCCAGTTACAACCAATGGCAGTGGGTGTCAGTACAAAAGGCATTGTGTGCCCGCCGCGGCACGTGTGATGGGGGTTACCAATGCCTGCAACTGATCCTGTGGTTTCTCAACCTTCTCTAAATATGTGGAACCCTTTCCCAATTAAAAGTGTATTTGTGTCATTGGATTTATGTGTCTTCAGATGGAGGTTTCCTGTAATTGTTTTTGTTTTCAATTTAAAGAGGTTTTCGGTTTCCTGAAGCCTGCTGTTCCCTGGAGGTCTCAGAGACTTTATACTGCATAAGGTTATATGAGAAATGTTTTATACAGAAGAAAGATAAAGATATATAAAGCAGGAGGAAACCAACGCAACCTAAAAGTGGCAAAGCAGAGAAGCCAATACTGACCCAACAACACCTCCACATAGGGATTGAAAGAGTCAAGTGGAAATGCCAAGAGAAGGGCCAGTTGGAGTATGTTGTCCTTACATATATTTCTCTTTGTATTTGCAGTCTTTTGCACAGAAAAAAGTACCACAGAAAGCCTTAGAGCATACATACGCCCAAGAACAAAAATGTTATATATTGCAGCTCGCCAGTCCATAGATGTGATGGCTGCATTAGATCCTGCTAGTAGCACACTTCTTGTCCTAGGGTGACAACACTCACCATGCTGTATGTATGGAGCAGCAGTGTTGTCACCCTAGCCTGCTCATTCCTGATTTGGACGGCAAAACACCCTTCCCTGCTCCTCATAACATAACATAGAGAGAGATGTTCTGTAGATTACAGTGACAAACTGGGCAGGACTATTAACACTGCTTGGGGAAACACTGCAGAATGCACAGAAAGTTAGGCGCTCGCTGGATACTGGATTTCTGGCAGGATCAACGTATTTTTTTTTTAAACCTTTTTAAACAGATATAACAAGACGTTTTTGATGGTATAAATCTAATGGAAAAACTTACCCTTGCAATGGGGCTGCCTCCCGTGCTGAGTAGTTAAGTGCTTGTTTTGTCTACGGAGCTCAAATAAAGCAGTATTACTTACCTGATTCTGGCTCCTATGGCAGTCAATGCTCATCTCTCTCCCCCTCCGCCCCTAATGTTGGACTTTCCCTTGGTGTCCTCTAGGGATGCACCGATACCAGTATCGGTATCAGTGCCGAGTATTTGGGCGAGTACGACGATGCCTAGCCCGATACTTCCGGTATCAGGAAGCCAGGCAGCGCGCCATTACACGCTGCCTAGCTTCCTGATTGCCCGGGAAGCCGGCTCCATGCTCCCTTGTCACTTATGAGCCGACTTCCCGGCCAATCAGGAAGCCGGGCAGCGTGTAATGAATCACTGCCCGGTTTCCTGATTGGTCGTGAAGCTGGCCAATCAGGGATCCGGGCGCCGTGTAATGACGCGGCGCCCGGCTTTTTGAATGGCCAGGAAACCGGCTTCATGAGGTGACGAGGGAGCATGGAGCCAGCTTCCCGACCAATCAGGAAGCAGGGCGCCGCGTCATTACCTGATTGGCCAGAAAGCCGGCTCCATGCTTTCTTGCCACCTAGTGACGAGAAGCATGGGGACGGCTTCCCTGCAAATCGGGAAGCCGGGTGGCGAGTCTTTACACGCCGCTCGTCTTCCCGGCTAATCAGGAAGCCAGGTGGCGAGTCATTTAACGCCGCCTGGCTTCCTGAATGGGTATTAGGTATCGGCGAGTACCAAGAAAAAAAATATCGGTACTCATACTCCATACCGGAATAACGCTATTGTTGCATCCCTAGTGTCCTCATGTCTGATGCAGGTCAATGAACTTGCATAGGACGTGATTACGTCAACGGTCCTTAGACCACCAGAGCACACAACACCAACAAAATACAATTTGGGTTGGAATTCAACTTTATTGAAGGCCGGAATACCAACTTTGGATGTTTCCTAGTACTCAGCATTTGCATTCCTAGGCAGTACATGTGGGGACATTAAATCATAATAAGTTACCCAGAAACATCTAGGTGTCCTGTAGGACCAGAAAAAGTAGACCATATCTGCTGCTTGAGCACAGCCTTCGAAGCATAGACCATTGTAGGAGAATGAGACCCCTTTATGAAGTTTGGGTGAGTAGAACCAGAACCTTCTTTATCTCATTTTCTTGATGAGTCTGCTCAAGAATAGCGCTTGCCCCTTTTTTCATGCTCAGGCCTTAGAAACCACTTGCCATCAAAATGCTCCTCCGCAAAGCTGTTTTTTAAGGAATGGAGAGCAAATACTAGAGCTTGACTGGAGTAGGAGTTGTATTGCCAAAGGTGGACAACCCCTGTAATCAGTTTGTGAGGTTTAATAATAAAGGGCTTTTTGGGTCATTTCTGTACTTCTAGTTGTCCCCTCTTGATGACTTCTGCTCTTGTCTTTCTTCTCAGGTAACCAAGCTCTGTTCTGGTTCTCGCGACATATTTCCCTCTGGGGCAGCATCTCCTTCAACCTGGCCGTTTTCATCAACCTGGCCGTGGCTCTGTTCTATCCATTTGGAGACGATGGAGATGAAGGTGAGTGCAATTTGTATACTTATGTGAGCGTGTGGAGGCCTATTCTTGTGTGACAGACCATACTGTTTAGTGCCATTGATGTATCTAGGCCTATGGTTTCTCTCTATTATTAGTTCTTGGGGCTGGTACTTTTGCTGGCAAGACTGATACCTTTGGGCATGACTACTACTGGTGTAAGTATAAGTGTAAGGTAAATAGTCTGCTCTATGGTTTAGTTTAGCATTTGGAAGTTTAAAGTTGAAGTCTAAACAGATCTAAAAGTCACAAATGAATGCAGCTCTGTAATCCATTAATACATCTTAAAATGTATTTTTAAATACAAGCAGTGTAAATACCTGAATCTGCCTCTTGCAGTCCCCATACAGCAGAGATGTGAGAGGAGGAAGAAGAAGCAGCACAATTAGCCAATCAGTGTGCTAACAAGAAGCATGTTTATTGGAGGAGAATGCAGAGTGACAGATGACTCCATCTCTGTGCTGTTTCTCCTTTCAATGTCTAGGCAACAGGCAGGGGCAGGTCCAGGGTGACCTAGAGGAAGCAGGTTGAATGATGCTGGTCATCAGATCTAGTGGCAGAAAAAAGGTACAGGGCGGGATCTCTGGACTGAAGTTGAATATATGCAGCAAAAGTTGGTTTTATGATTTTGCCTTTGAATGCTCTGTTCAGTTTAAACTCATTTTTGGCTTCTGCTTTATAGTTAAGTCAGTGCTGGGATCAGAGTTTTGGCGAGGTTTTTGTTTCCGAAACAGACTTTTATGGCGCACAGGGAACACGCACTGCATGTGAGCCCCTTTGTGCGTGTTCAATATTAGAGTCCAATATGTCCCCCTGCACTCCTTGCAGCGTCTCCGGCCAAAATCACAATAATGGTGCTTGCAGTGATACTCACAGATGGCGCTGTGCACATCAAACAGGCAAAGGAATCACTCAGTAAAAGATTTCAAATGATAAAGTCCATATAATCGGACAGATCGTAATACATATTGCAATAATTATAACCTAGGGACCCTTCATCAGGGCAACAATGTAATTGTGTTACATTGTTGCCCTGATGAAGGGTCACTACATGGCCCCCGAAACGTCGGTTATAATTATTGCAACATGTATGACGATCTGTCCGATAAAATGGAGTTTATAATTTGAAACCTTTTCTTTTTTTTTGGGGGGGGGGGAGGGGGGAGAGAGTAGGGAAGGACTAGATCCCTGTCAGCTTTCTGTTGCTGTAAATATTCTGACGAGAGTACTATACCTAAGATAAAAGAATCCAAAAATCATTTTATATTAGTGCTTGTTCATTATATAAAACAGCCAATGCATTTCAGGGGCACAACACTTCCCCCTTCTTCAGGGCTGCAAAACAAATACAAAAAATGAAAAAAATAAATTCTCATGTCAGTTTAATTCATAATAAAATTAATCAATTTGTATGAATACAAAACATATATTCATGATAATCAGAAAATTTCTATAATAACTGTTACACTATGACCAATTATATTATTAAATAGAGACTCAGAGATTGCCTGATAGGAGGAGCACATTGAGACTCAAGATTAAAATGGACAAGATGGTTTTTGAATTTTAAATAGACAAGATGGTAAAATAAAATGCAAAAAGAATTGAGGGTGGGCTAAAATAAATCGAGATTAGAAAAAAATGAAACTTTTTCAAATTAATAATAAGGTGCATAATATATTCATTAAAACGCAATTAGCAACGGAGTGATTTTAACCGAGTTAATTTTGGATAAAATCACTTCATTGCTTGTTACGTTTTAATAGATATATTATGTAACAATATTAATTCAAGTTTCTATTTTCTTTTCTAACATGAATTCATTTTAGCCCACCCCCAGTTCATTTCTAATAACAAGTTTTTGCATTTTATTTTACTGTTAAAACCATCTTGTCCTTTTGAATTAAAATCTTGTCCAAGTTGATGAGTCTCAATTTGCTCCCATCGTGCAGTCTATGGGTCTCCATTTTAATAATACAATTCATCATGGTTGGTGTGGAATTTCTGGAGTTCTACTTTGAATTGTTAGTATAGCTAAAACTTTTTTTTTGTTGCGGATGGAGTGGGAAAAGATAAATAGAGCAGAACATTTTACTGTTAGCTGTCTGTGATTTCCCTTCGCTTCATGGAGACGTAACAGGAAGTGAGATTAAATCTCTATAAAGTGTGAGGAATACCCCTCTTTGATGGTTGACATCCGCCCATCACCTCTTGTTCTGGGGACAATTCTAAAATGTTATATTCCCCTTTAAGTTTTGTACTGGTGACGATGGTCAGAGAGGGTGAATCTCCCCGTCGAGGACACAGGCGGCAGCAAAAAACCTGACCAATGTTTTAACCCTTCCACACTTCATCCACTTCTACAAAAAAATAGTTTGGGCTGTACATATACTTTAAAGCTGAACTAGCCACAAAAACCTTCAGTTAAATATATTCCTCAATAACCCCAAAGGATAATAAAACAACTTTGTGTGCAACAAATGCCTTTTCAGATATTACAAATTAATGGTGACATCATCACTGTGCTGCACATAGCCGGTGGGAGGGGCTCAGCAGGCTCCACCTACTACAGGCTGCCTGCAGAAAACTACAGGAGGGGGCGGAGTCAAGACCAGTCACCCTGCACAAGGTGAGAGAGCAGCATTGACTGGTCTTTATTACTGGAGTGGGCCGAGACAAGACCAGTCACCCTGCACAAGGAGAGAAAGCAGCAGTGGCCGGTCATTATTACAGGAGGGACAGAGACAAGACCAGTGACCCTGCAGAAGGAGAGAGAGCAGCAGTGGCCGGTCTTTATTACAGAAGGGGGCGGAGACGAGATCAGTCGCCCTGCACAAGGAGAGCAGAAGTGACCGGCCTTTATTACAGGAAGCTCCAAGTTTTGCACAGAGAGATACACAAGATTCAAGGAAGAATACACAGGACTCTTGTATTGTATTACATTGTATTGCATTACTTACCTGGAGTTCTGCTTTACATTGTCGTAGCTTTGGGCCGTGAGTTGCTAGTTTATCAGCTTTTCCAGATCTAGGAAACAATGTGTCAGTTACATGGAGAGATTTGTGAGATCTATTTCATTGCAGGGAAGCTTATCATAACCCCGGAGTCTCTTACATAACATTAATGCTGCCTGATCAGTCCTAATCTCCTTCCCTTTGTGTTTGGCCGCGTTTTCGGCAGGAGGGTCTGCAGGTAGCACAGAGCCGAGCCCGTTGTCTGCTCTGCACCGGCCACTCATAATAGCTCTTTCAGCGACCCCGTCACATGATGTCTGCGCAGCTTGTGTTCCACATGTGCCCGCACGTGTCTGAGCCGAGGCACTGGCCCCCTGGGTCTCTGAGATGTGCAGAACAAGCTTCTTCTGTCTTATTAGGAGGCCTGTTTGTGTAGAAGAGACATAAATATTCATTCCCAGTTTAAGGTTAGAGGCGGCCGTCTCACGTGTACTCCTGATCTCTGTAGTCACCCTGGCGGCACGGAGACATGAGAACCTGCGGCGTCCCAGGATCTGTGTCATGAGACATATTGAGGGCTCATGCATATGCGGACATTGTAAACAAAAGCATATGCATGATCCTAAACGAATGCGTATTAAGTATGTAGGCCAGTCTCGGTGCGTACAGTTCTCCTAATACATTTTATTAACCTTTGCAGTGGGGCAAACCCTGCACTGCAAGGGTTAAGTGGTTGTTTTTGCCTAGGGCCAAAAATAACAAAGTTATATTCACCTGATCCTTGGAGCCGGCCGGGTGACACAGCGCTCTCTCCAGCCTGTCTCCTTCTTTGCTGCAGCAATGGCTTAATTTAAGGGCGTGGGTTATAGAACAACTCCTGGTATTTTTTTTATTAACCCCTACAGTGGGGCTACCCCCATTCTGCAAGTTTTAACTGCTCGCTTTGGTTTAGGGCTGAAAATAACAAAGTTACGCTCACCGGATCCTCCAAGCTGGCCAGCTGTGACAGCACTCCCCCCAGCCCATCTCCTTCTCCGCTGCAGCAATGTAATGTCCTTCAGCATCCTTACGTCTTTGAAACTGTGTATAGAACGTGATGACTCAGGGACCTTAGACCGCAGCAGCGGAGGGGGAGAGATGCTCCAGGGACCAGTCTAAGTGAAAGCCCGCTCTGAGGATCAGGCTAGTATAGCTTTGTGGACCAAAACAGGCAGTTAACACTTGCAGTGCCGAGGTAGCCCCACTGCAACAGTTAAAGGAGCACTATGAGGTGAGTGACTTCCACTCATCCTCATAGTTAGAGCCGACCTGTGACAATGAAACTGTCACACGTCAGCTCAATAGATCGGGAAGTGAGTGAACTCATACCGTCGCTCGCTCACTTTCCGATCATCTCCCTGCAGTGAGCGGTGACTGGCAGTCACCGGTCCCCGCAGGGATTCCCCCTTTCCCCTCCTATCCTCCAGCGCTGAGTGGAGGAACAGACGGGGAGGGGACGGGCACAGCTGGCTCTGTCTCTAGATAGGCAGAGCCAGCTGTCACTCACGCAGCTGGGTGGATCCAGACAGTATTGTCGGGCAGGGGCGTCCCTAGGCCGGGTGTCACTAGACCAGGTTACACCCCGACATGTCGTCATCGTGGGTGCGCGTGACGTCACTGCGCGCGTGGGCAATGATGTCATTGCTCATGCGCGGCCATCTGATTAATGCCTGCTGGCGGCCATCTTTGTGGTGGATGCTGGCAGAGAGAGGAGGGGACGTTCACAAGGCGGGATGAGGTATGACGCCGGGTCCCCTCCTCTCTCCTGACACTGTCGGGCTCTCGGTCCATGACCGAGTGCCCGACTTTTTAGACGGGGTGACACCAAAATGACTCAGTCATTTTGGTGTCACCCCTGCAATGGTGTCACCCGGGTGCGGGCCACACCCCCCTTGTGACGCCACTGTTGTCGGGATCCGTTCCGGCTGCAGCGATCTCAATAGCCTGCTATATACTGAGCTTTGGGTCACGAGAGGAGGTTAGTATATGTCCTCCCATGACCCTAAAGAGAACTAAATTCTCTTTTAATAAAAAAAATTACCCGGAGTTGTTCTTTAAGTATTCGGTTGCAATATCATGACTAGACATGTGCACCAGCAAAAAATTTGTTTTCGTTTCGTTTTGATTCGGATTTTGCATTATTTTGTTTTTCGGATTCGGGTCTGAAATTAAATTTGTTTCGGAATTCGGATTCGGATGAAATTCGTTAGCAGGAGTCCGGTCGAAATTTTGTTTTTTGGACGAAATTTCGTTGCAGCAAAGTGACATTAGAAAAAAAATAATTAATTTTTTTTTTTTTTTTACAGTCTGCAGAAGATGAAAAAAGCCTGAGGTTCTCCCCCAATTCATACCAGACCCTTTAGGTCTGGTAGGAATGTTAGGAGGGACCCCCCCAAGTTAAAACACAAAAAAAAGTTCCTGGGGTTCCACCCAAAATCCATACCAGACCCTTGTAAGGGGGGACCCAACGTTTTTTTCCCCCATTTTTTTGCGCTGGGGTTCCCCCTTCAAATTCCTACCAGACCTAAAGGGTCTGGTATGAATTGGGGGGGAACCTCATGATTTTTTCATCTTCTGCAGACTGTAAAAAAAAAAATTTCTACTGTAATTTTGCTGCAACTAAATTTCGTCCAAGAAACGAAATTTCGACCGGACTACCGCTAACGAATTTCGGAAAATCGGGAATTCTGATTCGTTTGCATTCGTTTTAGCTGTAATTCGGAATTTGGATATATCCGAATTTCCGAAAATGCATCCGAATTTCGTTTGGGAACGAAATGAATCGCACGTGTCTAATCATGACTGATGCCGGAAATATGAAAAGAAAAGCTCCTGTTGCATCATGGGAGCCGTTTTCTTTTGTTACAGAGTTGCTGGGGGAAGGACATACATCCAGATCTTATTTTTTTCCACATGTGTCTGACTGTTATAGACACGATGACGCATAAACAGTTAGCATTTTTTTTACCCCAGAAAAGGTTGTTTTGCTGAAATGACATTGCGATTATCTGGTCAGTTTTGATTCCGATGGTTCTCGTCAGAGTTCTACTTTAATGGAAGGTTTATTCCTTCAAACAAGATTTAACTTTCCTACTTTAATGAAGAGTTGAATGTAAAACATCACTTGATAGGAAAACACAGTTTTAGGCCTGAAAATTGATCAGTCGCTTCCTATTAAGACTTCTGCAGGAAGCGAGAATGACAGGTCACAGGCGAAGATAGGACGTGTCATGTTGGCAGCACATTTTATCGTGTTTAAACTGGGTTTCATTAAAAGTCTCCGTGGCATTGTGGATCCGTTAAGGGAAATGATTGTCACTTTAAATCCTAAATATAGTCACGGCTCTGACTTCTCCTTATAGAAGCCAAAGGAGCTGATGAAGGCGCAGTGACAAGTGACGCTGCGTACCGAGGTCCCGGGTCCCGTTTGCGTCTGAATTCCCATTGTTTTATCTCCCTGGTAATGATGTGATTAAAACTTGTCTGGCCCCGCTCGGGATTTCACGGTTTCAGATCGTTAAGAATATAAATATATCTCAGATACATTTGTAACACCGTGTCTGCGGATTGTCACAAAGCCGAAGTCTTCAAGTGGACCTGTAATGTGAACTTAGAGAATACCTAAACCCAGGAATAAAAATGTCACCCATTGCAGCATAGCAATCCTTAGATGTGGCAACTGCATTCATTTTGTTTTCCAGGCTAACAACATTAACTTCCTGTGCACTGAACTTCTCTCAATCAGTGTTATCAACTTTAACATCTGTCTTCTGCAAACTATAATATACCCTTCCTAACCATGTAATAGAGATGAGGGGACATGGAGGTGTTCTGTAGTCTTGTCCAAGTGTGACAACGCTGCTTCTTCAGATACAGAAGAATGAATAAGCAATGTCACCCTAGGACAGGAAGTGTGTAACTGCCATAAACCAAAGGGAAAGAAAAGGAAAATTACATTAAAAAAATAAAAGGAAAAAAGTCTAAAAAAAGAATCCTAATGCAGCCAGCACGTCTAAGGACTGGTTAGCTGCAATTACCATATATACTCGAGTATAAGCCGAGTTTTTCAGACCATTTTTTGTGCTGAAAAGTGCCCCCCTCGGCTTATACTCGAGTCAGCGTCTCAGTGGTCAGGTTTCTTCTTACTTACCTCGCCGAGCGTCGCGTCACTGCTGCTCCGGTGGGCGGCGCTCCGAGCGGGGTCATCTGGCAGTCTCCGGGTCCTAATAACATTTTGGTTTTCATTAACCTGTCACAAAATGTGATAATTAGATATAGTTATATAAGTTCTAAGCTAAATTTAGGTTTTCCTAATTACTTTCCTAATTAACATAATTGGTCCTTTTAATGTGATGGGTGGCCAATGACCGACAGAGATCCTCAAAAAGGGGCAGGGCCATGTTCAAGTTTGAGGCTATGTTCACATAGGGGTAATTTGGAAGAGGAAAGCTTGACACATGTTGTGTACACAAGGAACCCCACCATCTTTTTCCGATACTCGCCAATATCAAATACCGATACCGGAAGTCCCATTAAGGAAGCTTGGCGGCGTTTAAAGACTCCCCACCTGGCTTCCCAATCAGCAGGGAAGCCGTTACCATGCTCCCTCATCACCAAGTGATGAGGAAGCAAGGAACTAGCTTTCTGGCCAATCAGGAAGCTGGGCATTGTGTAATGAGGAAGAGGATTGGCCCAGCTTCCTGATTGGTCAAGAAGCTGGCCAATCAGGAAGATGGGCAATGCATCATTACACAGCGCCCAGCTTCCTGATTGGCCAAGCCAGATAAAGGGACCCTACGTGGCCCTGAAAGCGATTGTCTATACTTGATGGTTCTTAATAAATGAACACTTGTTGATGCTGAAAGGACTTTTGGTGTGCTGGTGACATTCCTGAAAACGACACATACAGTATAATATTAGCCTGGCAGCATGGATTTCTAAAACACGTACTGATGAGAGATAAAGTGCTGCCGTTGCTCACCTCTCCTTCTTAAAATGCTACTTGCTTGACAGTCATGCCAATCCTCTGGCTTTTATACTTTGATTCAGTATCCCGGGTCAGGCATCCATATAAAGTAAAGACATAACTTTTATCCTGAGTTTCATAATCTGCACACTTGTACGAGGTCAGTAAAAGTATTTTTTGCATTGGGTCATTAAGAGAGCCAGGCAGCTGGTATTTTCACAAGAAGGCCAACAATGGTAGCCCCCACGGTACCTTTCTTTTCTGCCACTGCATGTCCTCCAGCATCATTCAACGCACTTCCTCTGAGCCCAGGCTGTCATGGACCCATCCTGTGACTGAACAATAAGGGAGAAGCAGCAAAGTGATGAGCTCATCTCTCTGTCACTCTGCTTTTTCCTCCTATCAGCATGCTCCTTGTCATTACATGAACTGATTGGCTTTATGTGCTGCTTCTTCCTCTCCCAGTCTGAGCTCTGCTGTTCAGGGACTACAGGAGGTTGGTACCAGGTCAATTCAGGTATTTACACTGCTTGCATTTAAAAAACATTGATTGATGTATTAAAGTAATGCAGAGCTGCATTCATTTGTGTCTTTATTTGACGGAGTTCAGCTTTAAACAAACTACCTAAAAATGAAATGAAGTTTCTGTGATAACTGAATCCTTCTCTCTCTCGATCTGTGCAGGGACCCTGCCCCCGTGGATCTCTGTCTTGCTGTGGATAGCTGTTGGCATCTGCACGGCCATGTTGTTCTTCTTTCACAAACCGGTCGGGATTCGTCCATTCCTCGTGTCAGTGATGCTGCGCTCCATCTATACCTTGGGGCTGGGCCCAACTCTCATATTACTGGGGGCCGCCAACGTAAGTACGCCTTTGATCCAGGCGCATAGGTACATACAGGAGCCGCCATGTACTTTTCCAGATTCTAGTCGTCTCCCGGCAGTCATTCTCACAACAATAAGAACAGACGGCAGCCAGCTAAACAGCCAGGGGCCCCGTGCATTCACGTTCACTTTGATCGGCTGCAGGGGATTTCTTTCAGATCCCTCTAATGTAGAATATCTGAAGTTTTCAATACCTGCAGGACATAAGAACTACTTCACGGGGTTGCTGCTTCTACGCAAATCAGGAAGGAAAGGAAAAAAAATAGAAAAGGAGATAACCCTCCCAAAACTGATAACAGGGTAAATGCTATGCATGCTTTATTTTCTATGTGTTCCAAAGGGTTCCGACAGTCCCGTGCCTGGCAAATGCTGAACATGTTTCCCACCATCTCTGCTGCTCACCGTGATACAATGTAGCACAAACATGAGAGAAGAATGGGAGGGGCTTCATTTTTGTACTAAGAGTCTATTGGTGGTCTTTAATGAATTTACACCTACAATCTATTGATTAAAGTGTATCTAAACCCAAGAACACAAATATGATATATTTCAACTTACCAGCCCTTCTAGTGGCTGCATTTTTTTTCCCATGATTTTTAAAATTTGTTGTGACCTGGTGATCCTGCCAGTAACTTTCTGTCCTGGGGTGACAACACTCACTAACTGTACTGTATCTATGGAGGAGCAGCAGCGTTGTGACCCTAGGACAGTACCAGAGCGCATCTTCCCTCTGCTCATATCCGTAACATGTGGGGAGGGGTTCTGTAGTCTGCATAACTAGCTGGGAAAAGAAAGAAGTGGAGCATAGGCAGGGCCGGTGCTGCCACTATGCAACCGCCTAGGGCACACATCTACCTAGGGCGCAGCCCTGACCATTCACTCCCCACGGCGCCCCCCATTAAAAAATCTTTCCAAGAGCAAAAAAGACCTGATGATCCTGCCAGAAATCAGCTTCCTACGCTCAGACAGGCTATTGAGACCCCACCCACTGAGCAGAGAAGCGTAACTGAGAGACAACTTTCTCTCTCAGGTTCGCTCCTCTGCTCAGTGGGCGGGGTCTCAATAGCCAGCCTGCTATTGGCTATTTCAAATTAAATTGCATCCACCTGTCGCCTGCAGAAGCTAACCGGCAGGAGAACGGCGCTGCGCATGGGGGAGTGCAAGTAGCTTTTCTTGCCTAGGGCGCAAAATAGTCTAGCACCGGCCCTGAGCGTAGGAAGCTATTGGCTCACAAGATTTCTGGCAGGATCATCAGGTCTTTTTTGCTCTTGGAAAGATTTTTAAAAAATGTTCAATGTCATATATAACAATATCAAATAAGAGAAGTTCATTGTTAGGCTTTACATACATTTTAAAGCTCTTTAGCACAATGTCCTGTGCAGAAGTATGGGCTTCTAGTTTTCAGACCATGCAGTTACTGACAATAGTGATCAGGCACCATTCGGATTGCTTGCTGATCATGTGACCACGATGACAGCCAATCATAATGAAGATATTAGTTTGCTTACTACCTCAGCGGTCACTAGGCGTCCCACAAAGGAAGGCACATTGACAGGTGCAGCCAGCCGGTGTCCATGTCTGAAAAATTATTAGGAAAATATCACCTGTTAAGTGTATATTGTACTTTTATATACATATTTGTACTATGGACAAAAAAGCAAACCTGTCACAGACTGAGCATATGTTCAGATCCATAAGCAGGGTGATTGTCGGTGAAAACCCCATTCCAAAATGATCAGCAGACCATGAGATACAGGCAGCTAAATTTAAATGCAGATATTGACTTTTCCTGTAAATCTCAGGCTTGCCCCACTTATGTTTCTCAGGTCTCTGGGTCAGTCCTTGAAAGTAAAGGGTGTCCTCATTGATCAGTAGCGGGGCTCAGGAGGTGGAAGGGTGCAGGGTCAAGGTTGGTGTTTTATGGGAAAACGTAATTTAACTTCAGCTGCCTTCCTGGTTTGACATGCAGTTTTCAGAAATGGTGACCTATGACTGCATCACTTATTTAATTTAGTGATATGCTTGGCTTGAATGTCACTGAATTGTGATGGTTTTACTTTTCTCTCCACTCCCCCCTGTGTGTGTGTCTTTTTCCCTCTTCCTCCCACCTCTCTCCCTTCCTTTTTCCCCCTTTTATCTCTCCACCCTCAAACCCTCTCATCCCCTCGCACCCCGTCTTTCTCTCCTTCCCTTACTCCCTCCTCTCTCCCCCCTTTACTCTCTATGATTCACTGTTCTCTATTTCCTCTTCTCTATTATTTCCACAGTGCTTACTCTTTGCTTGGCTCTTCATATCAATTATGTATGCAGACATGGATTGCCAGCTATAACCTCTCTCATTGCAGTTGCTATTAATGGATAAGTCAGTATTCAAAGATTGTCATTAACACAATTCAAAGGTTGCACCTTAAAATATGAACAGCATTTATTGAAATATCAGAAGGGATGATTCTCTTTATTTTTCATCTTTCAAAAGAACAACCAACAGTCGAATTCTCTTCACAGTCAGAATGATTTCCTGCTCAGTGCTTACTTTCCAGGCCCTCTCCATTCTTCTAATTATCAGAGCAAATGTCACTAGTTATACCTGAACAAAACGTATTTTTATTTTTAGGATTTTCTTAATGAGAGAACCTGCCCCAAGATCGAAATTATTTTGGACTAATGAAAAAAAAAAGCCATGTGGCCAACTTCATCAAGTCAGCACAACTTTCGGTGCTGTTACTGTATAATACATCTTTCTGTGTCTCAGTCATGATTTTATTTCTAGGCAGATTCAGCGAATTCCATGGCTGTTCGGCTCGCGGAAAGCAAGCTGTGGTTTGATATTAACTCTCAGCCTCATGCTGTCTCACTTTGCTCTGTTCCGTGATTACTTATCGAGTAAATGTCACCTACAAACACGTTGGATACAGCTTCAGTAAACAAAACATGCATTTTTCACCACGTTGTCCGGAACTTTAAAGCCGGGCGACACAGTCATAACGGGGGCTCGGAGAGTGAATAAGACAGATTGGTGCCTTTTGTAGCGAGCAGCAAAGAATGTGTGCCCTACCTGGATATTAAACTGTCACACAGGATTTGTGATAGAATTATTACATTTTTATTTTAGCTAAATGGATTCTAACCGGCTCCTCGCTCAATCCGTCAAATCGCCATTATTTGTGCCTCACCAGTGTGACGGTTTAGCGATTAAGCAGCCGTTATTTGTGTGCGATGATCTGCTCCGAGATGCATAAAACCAATTTGTTGTTTTTATGAGATGTTTTAAGTGGCTGTTCCAGGCCGGTAATAGTCTGTTTGTCTACGACAGCTGTGCAATAAAGTCGTCTTCCTGGTGAGTTTCGTGGGAAACCGCGGCACCTTCACCCGAGGCTATCGAGCTGTCATAATGGACATGGCGTTCTTGTATCACGTGGTCTACGTAATCGTGTGCATGCTGGGCCTTTTCGTGCACGAGTTCTTCTATAGTTTCCTGGTATGTATGTTACCTTACATGGGATATGTGAAGTTAGGACCAAAGTCGCACTCTGAACAAGCATGGAGGTTATATTTTTAAAGGCTTAGTATGACCAAACATTGATGTACACTGAACATCGCACCAACACTATGGGGGTTTATCACTAAGCTGCTGAAGGCCGCCCGACCGCATGCAATGGAGTCCCACCACATAACGAAGCATCTCACAGATGCAGGCAAAAGAAAAACAATTGGGCGGAGGTAGCAGTGACAGCTAGCTCCGCCCAACTGTATTCTCTTGACAAGCACCTGCCGAGTCTTTTAGCAGGCCAATGAATAACAATTGGGCGGGACCTTTGTTATTGTTTCATGACAGATCAGCGTCCCCAGGTCATTTGGGGACGTTGATCTGTCATTTGCAAGGAGATCGTTCGGCTTCAGTCGACCGTTCTCCACACTTCGGGTGTCACTATGGCTCAGCTGGTAGTGGTACTTCCAGTACCACTACTGGTAGCAGCATACAAAGACATTTTTAGACAATTGTGTGCTTCCAATATTGTGGTAACAGTTTGGTGAAGGCCCCTTGCTGTTCCATAATGACTATGCCCCTGTGTACAAAGCCAACTCCATAAAGACATGGTTTGACCAGTTTGACTTGAGTGGCCTGCACAGAACCCTGACTTCAACCCTAATGAACACCTTTGGCAGTAACCAGAACACCAGTTGTGAACCAGGTCTTCGTCTCCAACATCAATACCTGACCTCACAAGTGCTCTTATGGCTCAGTGGGCACAAATTCTCACAGGCACACTCCAAAATATTGTGGAAAGCCTTCCCAGAAATTGGAGGCTGTTATAGTCTCAAAGAAGGGAAAACTTTAAAAAAGTTATATATAATATATATATTATATATTACCGTATATGATGGTCCAGTGTATACAAAGTGTATATAATTTTAGTTAAAGGTCAGGCCTTTTAGATTGAGTCAGCTCCCTGATTCTTTCATGTTTTGGATGATATGATATGTCTGTGTAGATCTATTACCTAGCTGCCATACAGGCTGTTTTATCTTTACAGATATAATATAATTATTATTGATACTTCCACAGTTGTTTGACCTTGTATATCGAGAAGAAACCTTGTTGAACGTCATCAAAAGCGTCACGAGAAATGGCCGCTCAATCATCCTGACTGCAGTATTGGCACTCATTCTCGTCTACCTCTTCTCAATTATTGGGTTCCTATTTCTCAAAGACGACTTCATCATGGAGGTGGACAGGCTGAAGACACCCGATCTTGGTATGGAGGCATGGCTGTGTATCTCCTTCTAAGTCAGGCATAATTAGGGGACATATGTGAAGGCTCACTAATAGCACTTGTTTGGCTTTATATAGACAGTAAGTCATGAAATTGCAGTATAACAAAAGATACATTTCATATCCATTACTTATAAGTATATCCTCTTCTGAATCCCACTCCATCCTTCTTGTAATCTCCAGGCATGTCATTTTTATTTCACACAGTGCTTTTCCTCATATATTGCCTCTTCCTTTGAGTCCAGCCTTTTATATTACCCACAGACCACTGGGTCATCATTAAATCTTTTGGCTTATAGTGAGGGGGTGCATACTGAGATCTCTAGCACACAGAGTGTTGAAGATGCCACACACTTAGATCTGTGGTGCTGAGAGCATAGTAGACTTGCACTCTTTCTTTTACAACAGTGAACAGGTTTTTAGATAGGTACTCTTTTTTTCTAGGCATAGGTTTGCTATAGCTGTAAGCAGTGAGGGGTTAGTAGACAGTTCTCTACCAGCAATGAGGAAGTAGTAGACAGTTACTCATCATAGGAGGTACTCATTATCCAGCAGTCAGTAGACAGGTACTCTTTATCATCCGGCAATGAATAGGTTACCCTTGGGCTTGGGTCAGTCTGTTCTGCAGTATACCAATCTTGTGAGAAGTTCTTTAATCCCAGAGCTCCCCAGAGGACTCTCCCGGCCAGCGGCAGCTGCTCCAATAACAGTAGTGTGAGAGCTCATTTTACAAGATGCCGCGTGTAGCTTGGAGGACCCAGACAGAGACCCCTGTGTAGTCCGTCCGCCAGTGTGCTTCTACAACACCATCTATTACAGAGGTGCTACAAGCGCGGACTCGTCTGACAGCTGGACATCCATTACTTGCTAATAGTCATGAGAGTAATGATAAACGAATCATTATAGAAAACATAAAAAGTACTTTATTGAGAATTGTGCTCTCTCCATCTTATCCAGATTTATATCTGACCCTAAGACCGGGTTGGAGAACTGCAACCAGTCATTATGTAGGCTTTGCTGGAACATGACACTCATACAGAATTGTCCTATTAACCAATGCATAGAGTAATGGTGATGAGCCAGCCAATCAGAATTCAGTTCACTGAATTCACATCAGAAAAACACTGATTGGCTACTTATGATTAAACACACTTTCCTTTGACTTAAAGTGTATATCAGGGCACCTGGAATAAAAAAAAAACATATGTAGTAAAACTTTGCAATACATGTACATTTCCCAGTGTTTTACCCCTTTAACAACAATGCACATACAGAAAAATGTCTGTTGGTTTACCAGAAATCCAGTGAGCTCCTAATTCCTGTTTGAGCTGACAACACATTGCCTCAACAGTGATCTCAGCCTTGCCGAGTTTTCCCTGCTGGACTACAGAAAACTTTCCCTCTATTCATCTATGTAACATAACGGGGAGCGGATTCTGACATAAAAAGGGAAAATCATAGATGCTCAGCATCACGTGTGCATGCAAATACAGCTCCTCTAGACTAACACCCACCCATCAATACATTTTAATATTTGCATTATTCCCCCTAGGAGCCATCCCACTGCTTGAGTCAGGGCTGGGGGCTCTTGAGAGGAGTACTGAGTACTGAGACAGGTAGATGTGATTTTTTTCAGGAATCTATGTACAACCAACCTGCCAGCCTCTTCCTCCAGCCATGATCTGCCTGCATTGCATGGAGAATCACAGAGAACCAGTGATAATGTCACTTGGTCTTAAAATATTCGAATGAAAATGAAAGGTTTTATTAAAAATATAACTACCATGATTGGGGGGGGGGGGGGGGGGGG